ATAAGTCATTGATTGTACAAAATTCAATCATTCTATCTCCAGCTTCATTTCTGTCACCAAGCCCATGTTTTCCAACTACTGATTCTTCTTCTCTGTTCCCAACTTTTGCGTTCCAGTCACCCATTATTATCAATGCATCTTGATTGCATGTTCGATCTATCTCTGACTGTAAAAGTTGGTAGATTTGGTATGTTTTATTTGGGGGGGGGGTTAGTCATTGTTGCACATTTTTTCCACCAGCCTACAATATACCCCTTGTTCCAAATTTTCATGCATACAAACACATATTCCTTTTAGACAGTTCTTCCCTTCCTCTGTTCTGTTGCAGTGATCATTATCTGCTCTTTTGCTATTTTCCCACCAACACGTCATGTCTGTCTTATTTTATAATAGTGGGGTTATGCAATATTTGTCCTTTTGTGAATAAGATCTTTTACTCAGCATTATGTCCTCCAGGCTCATTCATCTTGTATAAAGCTATATCAGTTCATTGTTTCTCAGTGCTGCATAATATTCCATTTTGTGAATGTTCCATAGTTTTTCTATCCATTCATTTGTTGATGGACACTTGGATTGCTTCCATCTCTTTGCTGTTGTGAATAATGTAGCAATAAACATGGGTGTGCATACAACTGTTTGAGTGGCAGCTTTGGTTTCTTTAGAGTATATTTCCAGTAGAGGAATTACTGGGTCAAATGGTATTTCTGTTTCCAACTTTCTAGAAGAAAGTGCCAGACCACCTTCCATAGTGACTGTACCATTTTGCCTTCCCCCAGCCAGCAGTCAGTATAAGGATTCCAGTCTCCTTATAAGCTCACCAGCGTTTGTTGTTTGCTGTCTGTTGAATTTTGCTCATGTTGCTGAGGTGGTGTGTTTGTTCTGCCTTGAATACTCTCTCTGTCCTGAATGGTAATCCCTGGCATCTCTTTATTTTTATTGGCCATTTCACCTTCTTTTCAGCAAAGTATCATGGTTTTTGCAATACTGAATGTACTACACCCTTAAATGCTTATTTCGCGGCTTCAGGCATGAAGGATAGTAAGTCCGTTTGGTTTTGTTTTAGAAGAATATCTTTATTTTGTACTGCAAATTTTTCCCACAAAGTTAATTTTTTTCCAAATTTTATTATCTTTTTGTGTGTGTACCGTCAAATCAGATCTGACTGGTACAGGAGGAGACTGTCCTTCCTTCTCCAGCAGAGCATCTGGGGGATTCGAACGGTGCACCTCTCAGATTGCAGTGCAGCTTCTTGCCACTAGGCCACCAGAGCTCCCACAAAGTTGATTTTTGACTGAGTAGTGTCAGTACCTTTGCTGAAGTAGTGACTTTACTATCCTCATGGATTTCTTTTGGGTCATTTTGGGTCCGTTTTCCCCCTACATTGCAGTGTTGTCAGTCTTTCCGCACTTGGCTTTGTAGCGGTGGAGATCATGAACTGGGCTAAGGTCCTGAAGTTTTTGCTCATGTGCACGGTACACCCACTGTGGCTTGCTGATGACGTTTCCCTCAAGTCTCTCTGGTCCTCTCTCTCCTGTTCTGTGAAAGGCTATTGAAAGCCGACGGGCAAACCACTGAAAAGAAAGAGCTTCTGGCTAGGACCAAATAGATGTTCACCGATGTTATTACAATGGCTCAGATAACTGTTCACTAAAATTATTATGGGACAGAAGAGAAAATGCAACATTGAAAAGAAAACCTAGACCGAGGTGAAGCAGGAAGTTGGAGTGGAAGAGAAAACGTGGTGGCGAGAGGTCTGGGACTTCAGCGTCAGTTAGTGGGAGGATGACATTGTTGGCATTTTTATCGAGCCCCTGTTGCATTTTCTCTGTTGCCGTGTTTACCGCCTGATGGGTTTGTTCCAAGCAGGGAACAGTGCTCTGCAGGCAGCGTAGTGCCTGTCCACCTGGCAGGGTTTGCAGAAGGAAGGAGAGCTGAGGACCTGGGGACAGTGACAGGGTCCCAGTCAGCCCTTGGCCGGGGCTCAGGCCTGGTCACATCTGGGCGCTGGAGGGCCTAAAGTGGAGATGGCACCCAGTCCCCTCTGTCAGAGGAGCCACTGAGCCAGGTGCGGCCTCCACTCAACTCGGGCAAGGTTTTTAAGAATAGTTTTTAGAGAGCTCTGGTGGCCTAGTGGCAGGAAGCTGTACTGCTATTCCAGAGGTGTGTGGTTCAAATCCACCAGATCCTCTGCTAGAGAAGGGGAACAGTCTCCTCCTGTACCAGTCAGATCCAATTGGACTGTACGCACACAAAAATAATAAATTTTAAAAAAAGAATAGTTTTCATATAGAGGCAGTTGAATGTTTAATGTGGCTATCTGTCTTTTAGTAGTATTTTTTTGGTATCGTGTGTGTAATGTGATTTTTCTTGCTGCAAATGGGTTCATTTTGGTCCACGCACAGTGTCGGGCACTTGTTGCACCACCCTGTCTGCTGGGCCTGTGTCCTGTCGCCCGTTAACCAGCCTTGTTTGTTGCTGTTTCCCCGGCAGCTCTCCACCGGAACAGCCCTCGTCCCATGAAGGTGCCTCGATGCCACAGCGACCCTCCTAACCCGCACCTCATTATCCCCACGCCAGAGACCGGGTTCAGGTACTTGGTGCTTCCCCGGCCCCCCGCCTCCGGCTGCTGCGTGTCATGCATGTCCTTCCTCGTGGGCCTGTGGGGTGCGCGCTCCTGGGGGCTCCGTGTCTGCCCTGCATCCTTGCTCCAACCTGAGAAGCTCCGCTTTGCACTCTCCGTATTACGGTTCCGAGCTGCAGGTCTAAGTGGACACGTAGCTTCCGTGACAGCTTCAAGTCTCAGCTTATCTATAACTTCAAGCTACTAAACACTGTTAACTCTGAAGTAGTTCTTCTCGATTTGGAAAGTTACCTTACAAAAACCCGTTTGAATTTGCATAGCCTAATAAACACTCAAAAAAGCTTTACTAAGTACCAGTTGAGGAGTGGAGGGAAAGCTGGGCTGGGTCCATCTGGAAGTCATGGGCCTGTAGTTGCTGGG